GACATTGGTTCTTCTCAGCTGATGGAAAGTGATAATCAGGCCGAAGGAAGCGAGCTTCACCCGGAATCCTCAACCATAGAAGAACTGGCTTTAATTTAGTTAAGAGGAATCATTTACAAATCATCACATGCTCATCTTGCTCATAAAGATCTTTTACATAATTTTATTGCCCTACCAGCATGACAACGAAGACCTATCATGAACATGAACCAAGCAACAGCTGATAACTACATAAAATATACACATACATCACGTCTATGTTTACCAGACGAGTGCACCTAGCGCCTAGACGCGTACCATGCCAAGATAATCGTTTTAACGCGATCACCCAACGCAATAAGCATGTGTTTGTAAACAATCACGATATGCCCCATTGAACGATAATTACAATTGATAATTGAGTTTAAAGTACCATTTCTATGTATTTTCTCTTATTCGACGAATCTCTCTAATTTTTTTACTGAACAAGTCACACAGCTATTGATTTTACAGAATGTTTTGTCTCCCATTCTGAAGTGACAGTCTGGTGAAGGTCGCGGGAAGCATCTGGATGCGGGTAGCGCAAGACTTTTATGGAAATCCTTGGGGGAGGCCTTTGTCCAGCAGTGGACGTCATTTCACATCGTCACGAGTGAGAAGAGAGACAGACGCTCGTATTCACAAACGATGCTTACTTAAGTGAAGCAGTAAATCGAACGCACAGCGTTGAATAGAGCTCTGTGATTGGTTCGTGTGTCACCCTGTGCGTCCACGCGCACTGTGAGACCTCATAGTAATGTTTTTGAATACGGGCAAGTGACAATGGTGGTCGAAAAAATCAAGGAAATTAACAAATTAAAGGACAAACCAATCACATACAAACTAAAGAACTTTCCAGAAAACTAATATACCAATGAACAATCACGTTACAAAAAGCTACACAATCTCCATTTTTTCCGATGTTTGAGCAAAAAAGTGCAATTTTATAGGATCTCTTTCAAACAGGTTTTTTAGTAAATCTTGCAATTTCTTGCCATTACAATAGGTGGTGTTTCAGACGATGGTTTTTGTGGAATTAGGTTATAATGAGAATTATTTTACGTGTGGTTTAAGTAAAATGAAAGACGACAATAGTAGATGGACCGACGACTTCATAAAGGTAGCAGGAAGGCGCTGGATGCGACCACTACCAACCGGGCGATGTGGAAGTCATTGGGGGAGGCCTATGTTCAGCAGTGGACGTCCTGTGGCTGAAATGATGATGATGATGATGAATAACCAACAGTGTCAATGTCGGACTACCAACCGACCATTGGATAAGGCTCCTAACAAGTATAATTTTAGCTTAGGATCATTTCCCTTTGAACCATTTTCTAGCTGGCTACGAAATCTGGCTAAGAAGTCGTACAAAGGGAATCAAGGATCAAAATGTACATGCTGTTCTGAGAATTCTGGCGGGGAGAGCCACACATAAAGTACTAGCCGTCCCATCAGTCATGGGTATGTAACTTCATGCATTTAAAAAAAGGACTGGTCAAATACCTGCCTTGTCCTGCATAAAAAAACTCTATTCAAATAGAGCAGTAGCTTTACTAAAAAAATGTTACCTGCTCCTAAAATCGCTGCCACTAGTGGCTCGCACACTTGAACAAAAAACACCAACAATATGTACTGGCCAAGGTCGCTGGTGTGTTTATTTACATTTTTTGCACGGACACGAGCTGTTTTGGTATTACAAGTACATTTTAAAGTCTTATAGTCTATTACTGAATGTTTATCAATAACTACTGGATAGCCAGGATTTAGTAGCCAGACCTTCACTGGTTGGGTTTTTATTGGCGGTCAAGCTGTAGATCCTGGCTACACAGGAGTTGCAGCGGTGGGAACGAGAGGTGGGAATAATCCCGTTGTGTAGCCAGGATCTACAGCTTAGCTGACAATGGAACCCAAAGTGAAGGTTGCGGATTAATCCCACCTCTAGTTCCCACCACTGCAACTCCTGGTTAGCCAGGATCTACAGCTTATTATGAAAAAAGTGTTACTAGTCTGTTAAAATGTCAAATTAAAACAAAATTGGTAATTTTTTCTTCATAATAGGGATGTTTCCTGGGTCAAAAAGCAAAGGTTTTAATTAGTCCGTCAGTTAACTTATCAAAAAATACTCTACACGTATTTTTCACTTTTTCCTTTGAAAAAGTTAATGAAAATTTAAAGAGATAAAGCGCGCCAAAGTTCAACAGAAGAGGCCCGTGACGTCAATGAGTGCTTAAAAGTGCCGCACTTTGTGACGTCGCGCGGAACTTCAACGCACCATAACTATGTAATTATTTGTTAGATTGACAAATAAAAATATATTATGTGTCCAATATTTTTTGATATTAAACATGACGGACTAAAAATTTTTTTAAAGAAACTAGCCTATTATTGTCTGTTTTTCCATGAAGGCTGAATGGCGCGACAAGTGCTATAAAAGTGTTATTAAAGTTCCATTTGTACCACATTATTTCTGCTGACGTCTTACGGAATATTTAATGTAACCCTGTGTATGACGTCATAAGCCCTTGAAGGCTGCGCTAGAATCGCACTTATAGGGGTACATATTTCATAACACTGTTATTAGGTAGTTCCCGATTCCTTCTAAAATCTAATTTAGATTTTTTTGCAACCGAATAAGGTAGATTATTCAATGGATCATCATCATCAGGTCATTTAGTCTCCACTGCAGGAGCACGCCTCTAATTGACCAGAGGCAAGAGGATTTGTCCTACACTCCCCACGCTGGCCAGACGGGCTGGGGAGGCCTGATGCTCGCATATTTGTCCCTTAGTCGCCCCTTACGACATCCATGGGAAGAACGGGGTGGCCCTACTCTACAGTCGTCAAGTTTTTTTTAAAATTCGGGATATTAATCTACAACGGAAGCTGGAGTTTATACGGGACTATTCCCACCTCTCGTTCCCACCGCTGCAACTCCTGTGTAGCCAGGATCTACAGCTTGACCGCCAATAAAAATCTTATGTTCTTCTGATTAATTTCGTTGCGAGTAAATAATTTAACTGTCCCCGAGACAAACTTGACCTTCACTGGTTGTGTTATTGGCGGTCAAGCTGTAGATCCTGGCTACACAGGAGTTGCAGCGGTGGGAACGAGAGGTGGGAATAGTCTCGAGCCAGAAGGCCGTCATATTAATTTGACTTGACTTGAATTTGATGATGATGAATTAATGATGAAAGATACTTTTATTCCTGGAGTGAATACTTTGGAAAGTACTTGGACAAGTACGTTCTAAACACCTAATAAATTGTTTTATATTGATGATGACATTTTCATCTTGCCAACAACCTGTATTGTTTTATTATGATCAATTACACATGTCCAAAATAGAAGAATTTTGATGAGTGATGGGTTATGGTAGCCAAAAAGCAGGTATAGCCTATTTCATCCACGAAGACGCGCCCCACCATTGTTCCGCTAATGTTTGAGTGTTATCGGTATACGCTAAATTAACCATGAGTGCACACGCACACTACAATAATGCCGCTCAGATTGCTCGGATCAAACACGCACCCCGCGCGACCGAGACCAAATGTGGGGGGGGGGCGTCTTCGTGGATGAAATGATCTATACTAAGGGTTACATTGGTATTGATGTTTGGTATAAAGATAGTTCGAGTCCCGGGAAAGGAAATAGGTTAGTTTTTGTTCCGGTTTTTGAAACAGGAACGCGCGATAAAGTTTTTCCTTTGAGAGATAAAATTTCAACGCGCGCTTAAGCTAGTGTTGGTTTGGCATACATTCATCAATGAATAATACTTTGATTCATGCTAATCTTTACTTACAAACCTTGTAATTAGTGACAAATAATCTAAAGATTACTAATAATTAAAAGATAGGTAAGAAATGAGTGCACAACTATTAATTATATCATCAACAAGTTCTGGTTTTTTCCAGTTAGATATACACGTCATATTGATAAGACATATTATTATCAAACGTATCTCTATCATAAATAATGAGTATGTAACGTACATTTGAATTATGTGTTTTTTAGAGTTTATCATTTGAAATAAGCGACCTTCTTGGCATCGCACGGGTGCAATGTGGATCTTTTTTAACCGACTACGCGAAGTTAAGAAGGGTTATGTAAGTTTTTCTGTAACGCTTAAACAATTAGAATAGAAAACTTTTTATTTGAAAGAAGGCAATACATAGATACATACAGAGAGCGATACATAAGTGGACAGATAACTGCTTGTGCCCCTCTGACAAAAAGGCACCCGCTCAGCTCAGCATACATCAAGACTGCTCGACTAGCTGGGCTGATTCATCCAATTTTGACGAATAAGGTGTCAAATGGATTCGTTATGATGGCCCGAGTAACATAGGCTACATTTTAATCGACTTTAACAATAGGGGGATAGTGTTCGTTTCAGCCAAATGATGTCCACTGCTGGACAAAGGCTTCCCAAGGATTTCTACAAGGACCGGCCCTAAGTTGCCTGCATCCACACACTTCACCGATTCACTTAATGGGAGGCCTGCCCACGCTACGTCTTCTGGACCGTGGTCGCCACTCGAGAATTTTTCTACCCCATCAGTATCGTTTTGTATTTTCTAGGAATCTTACGAAATTACAGGTTTTAAAAAAATTGAATGTGGGAGAGTAAAACCAGAGTAAATACAAATGAGTAGGTCATCTTCGCGCACCTCACCGCTAATCCACGCTAAATTTTGTCAGTGTGTGCGTGCGCGCCGCATACGTATTGGCGCGCTCTCATACAAACCGCGCTCGGGCGTTTCTATGAAGATGACCTACTCATTTGTATTTACTCTAGCTCTGGTAAAACGGAGCGCAAGGAACTGAGTGAAAGGGAATGAATGAGTGAGAGGGATAGAAAGACGTAACGGTGAGCGACAAAATTTGGATTTTAGACGGAGCGTAGACTTTTCCTTTTCTTGTGTTTATACGAATAAAGCTGGAAAATATCATCCCTTTTCAATTCCTTTATACACAACACTCACCTGATCCTTCTGAAGTCCAGCTGAGCTGCGTCCACACTCTTCCAGGCCCCGTGGAGGTAGTTCCTGCAGATCCTGGCTGCGACTTCCCGCATCTCCTCCTCAGTCCCACACATTTGCAGTTTCTGCAAGAAAGAGATGGTCATCGTCATTCTCCACTCGTTCTTCCTCATTTTTTATGCATCAAGCCAGGTATTTGACCGCAATCCCACCTGGTGGATGCAGTGCAGAAGTGGGATGCAGTCTAGAATGGTACATATCTGCCCTGTAAGTACCTATTCACTCTCCACTCGACCTTCTTGTTTACTAAAGCCTGGTCCGTGAGCACGTAGAATTTTGTCCAATGACCCCAAGCTACCCATCCTTATCGCTCGCGCGTGCGACGGGCGCCCGCAGTGAGTGTGCGAGCGCGACAGCAACATAATTACGCGCGAGCGATAAGGATGGGTAGCTTGGGGTCATTGGACAATATTCTACGTGCTCACGGACCAGGCTTTAGAAGCAAAAATGGGGGATAGGCCCATTCTCGCCATAATGGTACTTATTATCATCATCAGGTGATTTAGTTGAGGGTCATCATCATCATCAGATTCAAATTCTTTATAATTAGTATGTAGGCCCTTTCCAGGGCACTTATACACGTCCCAAATATAGCTTGCCCTACCACCACTTCGGAACAACATATCGGTTGAGAAGAAATGGCGGAAAAAACTCAGGTCATCATCAGGTCGTTTAGTCTCCACTGCAGGAGCACGTCTCTAATTGACCAGAGGCAAGAGGATTTGTCCTACACTCCCCACGCTGGCCAGACGGGTTGGGGAGGCCTATTGATGGATTTTTAAGAGAATTTCGAACAAGTAAGAAATTACTTGAAAAAAATACCGTATGTTTTCGAAAGGCAATTATTCCTGTTTTCCTAGCTTAGTGATTCCTATCGCTCCGAACAATAACTGACAAAAGAGAATTTCTAGATGACTGCTGTTGTATGAAATTGTATGGAAACGCATCACGGATCATGTAGTACTGTGTGCCTACCATGAGTTTACGTTAGGTGAGCTCGCTAGCGAATACGTAAAAAAATTCTATGAAGATCTTATTTCTTGAAAGTAGCCACTAGGGGCGCTGCACAATATGTCATACATTTAAATGTCATTTTTTTACGCAGTCGATAGCGAGCACACCTAACGTAAACTGATGGTAGGTACACTGATAAATTAAAATAATTTATCAGTTTGGTCACGTGTAACAAAAGGTCGCTCGGTGTATTTTTATTTTGTATTTATCTGTTTTGTTGTCACGTGTGATATATTTATCTTCAAGTCTCTTGACCATTGGTTCCCAAACTTAATTAAGACGCGCCCCCTTTCGACCATACTAAAATTCCGCGCCCCCCTCCTCCAGTCAAGATTTATTTATTGGTCGTATCGAGCAGTCTGGAATGCATTCTCTCAGCGAACGTACGTTTTTTTGCTTAAGTACATAGATAGCCCGCGCCCCCCTTTAAAGGTCTTTGCGCCTCCTCTAGGGAGCGCCCCCCCTACTATGGGAACCAATGCTCTAGACTATGTTTCTGATCAATGCCAGAAAAGTGTGTATGGGACTTTATTATGTACTTGCGGCCGGGCGCGACTTCGTACGCGTGGATCCCGTTTTACCCCCTTAGGGGTTGAATTTTGCAAAATCCCGTCTTAGTGAGCACCTACGTTCTAAAAGGAACCCCCATGCAAAATTTGAGACTCCTAGCACTTGTAGTTTCTAAGATTTCGTGATGAATGAGTGAGTGAGTCAGTGATCTTTCGCTTTTATAGATATGTAGATTGTTTTGAGACAAATAAATACTTTCTATCTATAAAAGTTTGGGATTGTTGACTACATGTATCGCTACGTCTCGCTTCCCCGGCTGTGTATCAAAGCCTTTTTAATGACGTCAGCAATACATATTTACTAAAGCTTATTATGATAATAGTAATTGCGACACAGGTTGTATATTACTGCCTAAATTGCTATCTTATCAACGACAAGTATTTTGTTTTAATCTGAACAACATGCAAGGTTAGGGGTGTGTTGACTATTGATAAAGTATATCAGTTATCAGTTAGTATCTCCATTTGACCCCACCCTAATGGGCCATCAGTCGATTGACATAGTTTTTATGTGCTGTCAAAATGGGACTCTCCAAGAGATAGGTCCTTTGTATGGCAATATATGATGACGTCACTATTTTACTAAGGGCTGATATTTCAATCGTCAGGTATCTTTTATCTGAAGAATAAGTTTGGCACATTGACATTATCAGTATGGGAATTATGTCAAAATGACAAGTTTATTCTTTAGATAAAAGATACCTGACGGTTGAAAAAACAGCCCTAAATCAAAAATTTACAGTTTTACAGACCAGTCATGATGTTCTTTTTAAACATAATATTGTGTTTTTAAATGTTTTAATCTTTAATCTCTACTACAAGTCATAATTACTCTCGAAATTTTGTGAGGATATATGTTTGCTGGACGGATTTTGATGCAGCTTTATGACTTTAGCTAGTTACATTTCAGGGGCAAGTGCATGAAAACGAAATTGAGTTTATTTACAGAGATATATAATTTTAAAGAAGTAATTGTTGGAAAAATTACTGACATCCTGTAGGATTATAATTTTCGAGGGTTGAAGATGCATTGTATTGTAATATTAGAAACCCTATCAAAACCAACATATTATTATTATTTTAGACACGTGTTATTGTACAGGTCATTCACATTATGTAAGTTAAAGATAACTTAGTAAAATAAACAATTTGATTGTATCTCTGATCAGTTTATGTAAACCAAGTGCTTCTCTATCTCTTAGGCCCAGAACAGACGGTGAAACGCAACAGCAACGAAACTGCAATTTTCTGATGAATTAAACTGAAACTGAAAGTTTCAAACTGGTCGCGTCATGTGTGGTCTCTCAACGGACGCTATGGCAGAAACTTAGATGCAACTCAAAAGTAACTAGCAGTTGCAGTTTCGTTGCAGTTGCGTTTCACCGTCTGTTTTGGGCCTTATACATATAAAGTGGGTATTTATCAAGTTATCATTAAGTTAAGGATGTGCTTAGACAATATGGCATTCGTTTTCGATGGGGGATCGTCATCATTTCGATACGTCGACAAATTACGTACAAATAGAATAGCCCTGGGTTGCACCTAGGGTTGCCAGGTCCCAAAATTACAAGCCGGACATTAGTGTCAGCTCATGAGTGAGTACTATCATCATCGGTTGCTAACCAACATCCTGATGCGTGCACATATATGATTCTGTGGCTCGACTTTCGCCTGCCGCGGCAACCAAATAAAAAGCCTAACAAAAGCCGGACAGGCCGGACAAGTCCCTAAAAAGCCAAATATGTCCGGCTAAAGCCGGACGCCTGGCAACCCTAGTTGCACCATCTTACATTAACTTTATCAAACTTTAAAAGTCTGTAAAACTCCATACAAAATTTGAAATTCTTTCATTTCATCTTCATTGAATTTTTTGACGTACTTGCTAGGGAGCACACCAAACTTAAACTCATGGTAATAAAGCACAGAAGTTTCAAATTCAAACCTAAATTGTTAAATTCAACACAAGAAGTAAATAAGTAACGAATAACTACTTATTTACCTCTCAGTGTCTTCAGGCAACTTAAAAAGTACATTCTGTGTTTTTATTATTATTTAGGCAGTTAAATACTGCTATTTAGTACACCTTTCTTTATTTTTTTCCATCATACACAAGAATACGCGTGAGTCAATGCTCGCTCGTATGTGAGGCCTTGTCGAATAGTATCCTGTAGGGGGCCATCGTGCGTGTTTTGTTTTCGATGTAAACTCGCGGAGATGAACAGGCCTGGTACTACGCACAATTCACCATTAAAACGCAACGTTAATATATCAGACGTTGTTAAACACCAATTGCGGTGACATATTCAATCTGTGTTTAATTATGCAGCTTCGTTGATTGTTAATTAACAACGTCTAGATGCATGTCAGTGTCATGTCATGTAAGGTGGAAAAAGATGGAGGAGGCTTTTACCCAAGTGGGGCCACAAACAAGAGATATAGATTAATTGAATCAAACTGTAAAAATGTGGAATACAAAGCTATAATAATAAATAAAAAAAAAAATAGATGCATGTCAGTGATTTTATTGTGTTTTAAATGGAGTGTCACATCTGATTGCAAATGTAGATTGCACGAATCAGCGTGATTGAGAATTATAGTATGTATTTACATGTGCATGTTTTGTCTTCACAATACTAAGGCTGGGTTTCACCATTTACACAACTTTAACTTTGACAAACGTAAAAAATCTGTCAAATTCCATACAAAAAATACCGGTTATCGTCAAAGTTAGGTGGTGCAACTCAACCTTAATATAGGAATATTGTGGTGTAAAAATACTGTAATACTTTATGCAAATGTACAATACAATTAGCATTTTTTCTGAATAAGAAAAAAGTAAACAAAAGATACATAGGGTAAACCGACAGTCATTGGACGCTGCCAGTCATTGGACAAAACAACCCTTGAATTTTCTTAAAATGAATATTCCTTCAAATACAATGAATATTCCTTTAAAAAAACACCCTTTTATCTCCATCAGTCAGAATCTCTCAGTTGTTGAAATAGAAATGCTATTTTTAATTCAGTAAATAACTGTCCAATAACTTTCTTAAGTGTCCAATGACTGGCAGTTTACCCTAGATTGATAGAACATTAAATAAATAAAATAAATAATAAATGTACACCACACAATGCAAGAAAAGAAATACACATATTAATGCTCTTAATGTTGATTTGTATCATTCTATTAGTACCAAAAAAGTTCTTACTTTCTTTTAAAAAACAGATCTAGATCTAAGTTATTTTATCACTGTAAAGTAATTTCTTCCAGACAACCTATAGGACAGTTGTTTAGAACAGGTAGAAAGAGAAGGCAGATAATTATTATGGAATTCTTTGAAATCTTTAAAGAGATAAGGGAAATATTTTCAAAGTCAATCAGCTATTGATAAGTTTAAAAATAGTAAACTATGTCTGTTAGATCAATCTTACACTGAAAAAGATTTTTCAATTTATCAAATGACTTGCAAAATTAGTTCAAT